TTTTGATCTGATCCTTGGTAGGATTGAAGAGGTCAAAGTTCCCAAGAGATTTTGTTGGTAACATGGACTCCCTGAGACACCCTGAGCTGTGAGGAGTGATTCAGGGAGAAACAGAACCATAATGGGGCACCACCCTTTCCTCCTTTCTGATGACAAAGCATGAGGGAAGCCGTGAAGGGAAAGAACTTGGAGTCACAGATTCCACCTTAATAACTGCAGCCTCGCCCAAGCCTCTCCATCTCCTGTGAAAACGGGAATAGTAGGAGTGCTTGTCTCCCCACAAGGGTCAAGGGAGGGAATTGATCGGGTGTTAGTTGTGACTGTCATTATCACAATGAAATTTAGGTAGATTTCTACTAGACTTTTCAAGTCTGACACTTGTCCCTTACCAAAATTCCCATTGCACACAAAAATAGCATGTTGTAAAGTAGCTTAGGGCTGAAGAGTGGACAGACTGTGAGTGTCAGGATGCACGCTGGGCATGGGGCCATGAGGAGCACTCAGCCTTTGAAGGATCAGAGACAACAAAGGTTGCAAATGGAGCCATGGCAGCCACAGGAAGGACAGATGTCAAACAGGAGAGGGTGGGGACGAGAACGCATGGCAAGAGGTGGAAAGAACCACAAGTTCCTGGAACCTGTTAGCAGGGCACAAGGTAACCATGGGACAGCTCAGTGCTATACCCCAGTGGACATCAGGCCAGATGGACCTCACAGAGCCTCCAGTAAATTCAAGTTGGCCATTGGCTAGACTTGCAGAAGTCTCTGTTTTTGAGGGAGAGGAGAAACCAAGTATCAGAGAAGTTGCAAGTGAGACTTCGGGAACTCTACATAGCTGTGGTCTGTGAAATGTGGACTTAGGAAATTCAACAGCCCTGCAGACCTGTTAGGCAGATAAGCTGAGAGCCCAAAGTGTTTTTGAAGGCCCCAGGTAAACATTTGGGGACCAGGAACCCTTCTGTACTCCTCCTGTGGGATGGAAACAGGAAGAAAAACCATCCTGTCTTTAGGTCCTGCTCTCTTTTTTTTTTTTTTTTTTTTTTTGAGACAGAGCCTCAAGCTGTCCCCCTGGGCAGAGTGCCGTGGCATTACAGCTCACAGCAACCTCCAACTCCTGGGCTCAAGCGAGTCTCCTGCCTCCGCCTCCCAAGTAGCTGGGACCACAGGCGCCCGCAACAACGCCCGGCCATTTCCTGGTTGCAGCTGCCATTGTTGTTTGGCGGGTCCGGGCTGGGGACTTGAACCCGCCACCTTAGCTGTACGTGGCTGGCGCCTTAGCCGGTTGAGCTACAGGCGCCGAGCCAGGTCCTGCTCTCTTATTTAATTTTTAGATGTTTAATATTAGACCCATTTAACAGATGAAGACTCTGAGGCTCAGTTAGCAGAAGAGTATGGGTATAATTCAGACCTAGAGCCCAGCTCCAAAGGATCATCTTCCCATTAGCAGAAGACTGTGTCTTCTGATCATCTTTAGGGACTTGTGCTCAATCTTTCTGCTTCTCTCACTTGTCTGGCTCTCTGCCTGCCAACCTTCTAGCCGTTTCACCTGTCACTGCCAAACCCTGGGTTTTGTTTTGGGATAGGAATAGTAGGATTTGGTGAAGAATTTTTTTTCCCCTCAGCTATTGTTTCTGTAATACTTTCTCTCGCTCACCTATTTCTCCTTTACCAGTTACCATCATTCATAACTAGGTACTTGTAAAATAAGGTTGACCTCTTGAGCCCCTGGCTTGTGAAGGTTGTTCACCACTCAACCTCACGAAGATGGTGCCCACGTGTTGGCTTTGGAGTCCTGGAGAGGTTATTCTGTAGGATCAGCAAGTCCGTACATACCTAGGCATTGTCTGTCCTGTCCTATCAGAGCACAGAAAGCTCTTAGGCTAGAAGAAGAGTCATCTTATGCCAAAGTTTAGGACCTACTCTGCTCTAATAAGTCCTTTGGAAGACTGTCCCTTTCTAATTCACCTTGCCTTTCTTGGTGACCTTGAAGTCAGTACTGTCTATATAGGAAAAAGTCAGAAAGTACTAGGTTGATGAGTAAAGAATGATTACCCATTTTAGATTAAAGCAGTGTTTTTAGGAAAAAAAAAAAATTCTCTGATAGGGTGGCATGAGCCTGGAAGGATTTATTCTACAATAATTACATCTGCTGTAGTCAGAATGTTTGTGTCTTCTTAAAATTCACATGTTGAAATCCTAACCACATGGTAATGGTGTTAGGAAGTGGGGCCTTTTGGAAGGTGACTAGGTCATGAGAGTGGAGCCCTCTTGAATGGGATTAGTGCCCTTATTAAAGAGACCACAGAGAGCTAGCAGGCCCCTTTTGCCTCGTGAGGACATGGATAGAAGGTACCCCTATAAAGAAGAGGGTCTTCTCTCATCCTGAGTCTGTAGTACCTCATCTTGGATTCCCTAGCCTCCTGTTGTTTATAAGCTACCCAGTTGGCAGTGTTTTGTTACAGCAGCCTTAACAGACTGAGGCAATATTATAACCCAGCACTAGAAAACGTGATTTTGTTTTTCAAACCATAATGAGAATCAATCATCTGGGTAAGTTTGTTCAGTGATGAAGTGAATCAGCTGGCAGCACGTAAAGAATCATCGCCAGTCTCCAAGCTAGTCTCCAAGCGTGATTGTGTTTCCTTTCGTGTTTTTTGTTTGTTTTTGAGACAGTCTTACTCTGTCCCGCTCTGGGTTGAGTGCAGTAGCATCATCATAGCTCAGTGCAACCTCTCAACTCCTGGGCTCAAGAAATCCTCTTGCCTTAGCCTCCTGAGTAGCTGGGCTTACTATCCCCCCATCACGCCTGTCTAATTCTTCTATTTTTAATAGAGACAGGTTCTCATTCTTGCTCAGGCTGGTCTCGAACTCCTGGCTTCAAGCAGTCCTCCCGCCTCAGCCTCCCAGAGTGCTAGGATTTTAGGCCACTGTGCCTGGCCCCTTTTTGTGTTTTTATTAAGTTGCTCTGAAGTAACACCATTGGGAGTACTTCCCTAACACAATGGGGTTGGCAACTGAGTCACCTGTTTGTGAGAGCTAAACTTTTATGAACCTTTAGCAGATCCATTTGCTGGCATCTTTTAAAGACTGCACACTTTGCAGAGAATTTTGTGATGGTAACTGATGCAGCTGAAGCAAAGCTGGGAGCTGTCCTTTGTCAGGAGTTAGGAAATATAGGCCATCTTGTCTTCCCTATAAATGTAAGTTGTTGTTGTTGTTGTTATTATGTCGACAGTGAAGTGCTCCCTGGAGAACTGAGATGCAGTGCTACACACAAAACGTGCCTCACTGTGAAAGTGGGCCATACAAGTTGGATGATATTATCTTGTGGTAATGAATTTACCTTTATGACAGATCATTATCCCCTTCTATAGCTGAACCGGATGAAGGACAAGTCCAGCAGAATAACCTGGTGGTTCTTGGGATTTATTGGCTTTAAATTTTTAAGCTTTAAATTTTTAATGCAGTAGCAGCCAGGTTATCTCTGTGTGAATGTTGCAGAGGGGGCAGAGATGAAGGGAGTCCCATTTTCTTCCTGGTAATGGTAGAAAGCAGGTGGTAGTGACACTCTCTTAACAAAAAATGAATATAGTTTCTCATATGCTTTGCCATTGTAGTGCTTAGGTCAAAGGATTAAATGAGTGGAAAAAATCCATAGGACATCGTCATCATTGATAATAAAAAATTACTTGAGGTCTCACTGAGTGTTACGCTATGGGGAAGAATAAAGATTTATTTTTTAAATGGCTGATAGGAGACTCCCCCCCCACTCAGTGTACCTAATCCAAGTTCATAGTTTAAAAGCCACATGTAGAATAGAACTGCTCTGTGTTAGTGAACTGCTGGGGGCCTGGGGATGTAGTTTTGCTTAAAGGCAAACTATGGTATGGTGAGGAAGATGGCCCCATGGGGGAAGATGGGCCTGGCAGCATCTGGGTTGCATCCTGGCTTTGTCCCTGACTAACAGTGTGACCTCAAGCAAATCATTTAATCTTTTTTCATTTTCTCAGTGAGGAAACAACAAAATCAGTACGTGACTCTCAGATACTTGTATAGCTTTATTTTCATTTCCACGGTAATCTTCAATAGATGGTCATCCGGTATCCCTCCCATTATTATTGTTGTTGTTACTGTCCTGACTCAGGGCCCTGGTGGTGATTCTGTAACCCAAGTAGGACCCATACTGAAACATTTGGACTGATGGAAAATTAATGCTCATGCAAAGCTCCTCAAACCCAGCACTCCTACAGGAGCCATTACTCAGTACCCTACCCTTCAGAGCAACATTCTCAATGCATTTTCCATTTGCATAATCTCCAGAACACAAGGAGGCCAAGTGCTCACCACGTCTGGGAACACTCTGTAGAGTTCTCCCATCTTCCTCTTTTCCATACAAAGCTTTCATCTGAGCTCTCCTGCTGTCTATCATGCTAATTTTATTATGGAGCCCAGCACTGCTGAACAGGCTTTATAGAGGGCCTTTGTCAGGGTTGAACATGATGAGAACATGAGTCCACGCTGCCTGCGTGTCAGTCCTGTGGACCTTAGTCCACATTGCCTTCCTGTGAACCTCGGTCCATGCTGCCTGCATGTCAGTCCTGTGAACTTCATTTCACACTGCCCACGTGTTACTCCTGTGAACCTTGGTCCATGCTCCCCGTATGTCAGTCCTGTGAACCTTGGTCCACGCTGCCCACCTGTCAGTCCTGTGAACCTCAGTCCATGCTGCCCACATGTCCGTCCTGTGAACCTCAGTTCACGCTGCCCGTGTGTCACTCCTGTGGACCTCAGTCCACATTGCCTGCATCTCAGTCCTGTGAACCTCGGTCCACATTGCTCCGTGTCATTCCTATGAACCTCGGTCCACGATGCCCACATGTTACTCCTGTGGACCTCAGTCCACATTGCCCGCATCTCAGTCCTGTGAACCTCGGTCCACATTGCTCCGTGTCATTCCTGTGAACCTTGGTCCACGATGCCCACATGTTACTCCTGTGAACCTCGGTCCATGCTGCCCGCGTGTTACTCCTGTGAACCTCCATCGATGCTGCCTGCGTGTTACTCCTGTGAATCTCCATCCACACTGCCCCCGTGTTACTCCTGTGAACCTCGGTCCACGCTGCCCGCTCCTGTGAACCTTGGTCCACGCTGCCTGCATGTTACTCCTGTGAACCTCAGTCCACGCTGCCCCCGTGTTACTCCTGTGAACCTCGGTCCACGCTGCCTGCGTGTTACTCCTGTGGACCTCGGTCCACGCTGTCCCCGTGTTACTCCTGTGAACCTCGGTCCACGCTGCCTGCATGTTACTCCTGTGAACCTC